TATCTTAGAGATAAACAAACCAAAACAGTCCCAAAGAAACATAGAAACAATATCAATCGATTCCGACTTCTTCGGCTAGTCGTCCTTCTGACTGCTTGCTCAGACAGAAATCTTGAAGAAATTGATTAAAGAGGAGAGATGTTCAAAAAATATCGGACAGAAATTTTCTAGAATAAATAATGATCATTCTTGAAAAAATTGGAAAAGTAGCTTTTAGCTTAGATGCCCTTGTTTGCAGAAATCTGCATGCAGAATTCCAACGTCGTGTTCTGAAGTACTGTGAGCATGAGATGGCTAAACAGGAGAAAATGACTGAACTAGAAATGCGCGAATGTCTCCCAACAAAACTCTACACTCGGGTATGCCACATTCCACTTTTCGGGCAATCCGTTCTACATATATAACAATCCAAAGGAATGGATTTTGAAAACCCCACAATTTAGATCAACAAGTACATGCAATGGTCAGCCCTTGCCCATTCCCAGCTCTTCGAAGTAAGCGATTTAGACACGTTCAAAAATAGATGAGATAGGAAAAGGAACTTTTAGGGTTGCGAGTTAGCATTTCTCAAAGACCTCGTTGCTCGTCTTGAACCAATGGATTACGGACCTGGCGATGTCATTAGCGCAAGAGGAGAACTGAATAAGGTAGCGACTGATTTATCTGTAACTTCATCTTCTAAAACGCTTGCGTCGAATCGAAAGATGAATTGAAAAGAGTTCTATGCAAGTAAACTCCGCTCGGATGCGCCACGCATACTGCTTCTTTGCGCCATCACCTAGCTAAATGAACTTACAAGCGCTACGATCTCGAACGTACTTGGTTTTTTTGCATCTGTTGAGGACTCTCAATACCAGTTTTCTTCCTTTACTAATGTAAAAGACTAGGTTCCCTCGAGTGATGTTCCACTTTGCCAAGTATATTCACTGGTTCTGAGTTTAGTAGCTACTTCGAAATTTCTTTGGGCTTTCAACGATGACCACCTAAAGAAATTCCACCTGGTGACCCTGGTATTTACTGTAGCACATTTCGATCGTGACCACAATAAAGTAGAAACCAGCTGTGGTTCACTCTAAAATGAAGTTATTTTTCAGGCGATGTATATCGTGGCTTCAGGAAATCTGAAAATCACCG